TTAATATATTAGTAATGTTTGTTTAGTAGATATTAGTTATTCCATATATCATTTTATTTTCAAATAATTTATAAAAAAATAACACCACATTTAACATACTCAAAAAATATGTACATAATTTTATATAATACTAGCGACTCACCATCGCTTCGCGTTTTTTCTTCAGAGATGAGATATTTTCCTGCAGTAAAAAGTATTCTTTATGTTGATCCGGATAACCAGCTATCATCATAATATCAAAATGTGTTCAATTGTTTTCTCGTGACGCGTCCTCAGACAGATAGACAATAATTCTAAAAACTATAGATTCGGCCTTTGTATTGATAATGATGACTATTTCAATAAGATTTTCCAAAAAATGTTTTATGTACAGATTCGACTCAGAATTTTATTATATGTACCTACATAATACGTTCACATTTAACTTTTTAGTTTAGAAAATTAGTACTGGTATATTTTTTAGGCAAAAGTCAATACTTAAAACTCCCATTATGATTATTCTTATCCGCCCGCGTTCAAATGACAAATTCTTAGGTTTTACATATTAGTATACTCTTACAACGTTTTTGTATTTTTTCTCAGAAATGAGATATCCCCGCGGTAAAAAGCTAACCAGCTATCATCATACTAAATTTCATCAAAATCCCTCCAGTGGTTTTTCTGTGATGCGATAACAGACAGACAGGCGAAAAATCTAAAAACTATAGATTCTTCCTCTGTATCGATAATAATGTCTATTTCAATAAGATTTTCCAAAAAATATTTAATGTACAGATTCGGCTTAGTTACAATTTTATTTTATTTATAGATAAGTGAGAGTATCATATAATATTGATTGTTAATAAAAAGGAGTATGTATGAAAAGTAGCTGACGGATCTATGGATAATGGATATAAAGATATTTTTAATTTGTAGGTCTGTCTATCACAAATAATTTTGTAAAATTTTACTTGGCACTTGAAGAATTTCAAATGTAGTTTCGTATTATTTATTCATATCTGACTTGGTTATTTACAAGCTTGCTTCCGCTGTTCAGTTCTTAACTAACTATTAAAGTATGATCGCCATCGTTGAATATGCAATGACAGGATTGGAAACCGCCAGTGTTTTTGTAAGGCTCTTTAGGGCTCTTCTAAGGCTTACAAAGGTTTTTCTTTAATTTAAATTTAAACCGTCATATGACGCTATACTTATTAAGGCTAATAAATTAAAAAGCTCAGTTTCTTTTGTTTTAGGTGAGCTTCAATACTATAATTCGATAATAGAGTTTGACTAAGTCCATATTATGAGACAGAATAATAGTTTCCACTTTTTTGCCTTTTTAATGAAACTATATCTGTTTTCTGAATTAGATACATCTATAAACATTACGTGCATGTTTTATATATCGAATATATTTTATTTTATCGGAACCAACTTACAAATGTACCAATTTATAAATTTAAGATCAAGATTATAAGATCTTGCGATTAATACTTTGTTTTCTATTAACATAAATTACTTATAATTTAAAAGTCAAATGAATAAAAGATACAGTTTTTATTGCACTTCAATTATTCAAGCGATTCTACAGTTGAGTTGACGAATGGTCATTTGTTATTATGAGGGTATATTTACGGCGTACACTTTCGATCTTATATTAAAATATACACAAAAGGTGCTAATTTTCCGCTGCGTGATGACATTAATAGTGGCGAAACTCGGTAAAACAATGTTTTTTCGCATAAACTGTACGCGTTCGGGTGAACGCGATATACCGCTCCCCTACGTATTACCTTTAATGTATACACCTGCAAGGCTGCAGCAAGCATTCCAAGTGTTTATTTAATAAATTGTGCAAAAAAAATTCTAACTATCAATAAACTTAGATTAAATATAGATTAACATATACTTATTTTCTTAGATTTGCGCGTATATTTGACATTTTAAATAAAACTATCTTTTCGGATGTTTTCGCGGATTTATTTTGATTTTTGGTTCCCGACGTTACGAGTCACGGGAGAGACTGAAGTGTTAGATGTCTCAAAGGTATAGTTGTTACAGACAGGCAACACTAAATATAAATTACTAATTAATATTTTTAAAATTGTAATAATTATAATGATAACAGCAAAAATTAACTAAATAATACTCTTTATTCAATTATAAAACTAATTAAAATTATAAAAATGTTTAAAGTTAAAAAATATTGTAAGGTAATTGGTGCAATTTTCATTTTGTTAATTGTGGGTAGGCTGTCTGTAACAACTATACCTTCGAGACATGTAACACCTCAGTCTCTCCCGTGACCATGAATGCTGTAAAGCATTCGAAACGTCGGGAACTAAAAATCCAAGTAGAACCGCGAAAAAATCCGAAAAGATAGTTTTATTTAAAAATACTTATTTCATAATACATATAAATAACTGTCATCTGTTGGTTTTAAAAGTGTAGTAGAGTACATAGGTACCTACATTTATAAGTGAAAATGTTATATAAAAAATAACTAATAATTGTTCTTAAATCTTTAGTGAGTGTGCTTAATTATATTTACACTAATATAATTACTCGTGTCGAGAACATCGAAAACCTGTCAATCGACTTTTAATTTTACATAATTAAATAAAAGTCCGCCTTGTTTATGATCGATGTGTAAAAGATAAGTGTTGTATCATTTGCATTAGTCGTTAATTAAATAAACGACGCCTGTAGCTGTAGTAATGGAAATAGAATAATGAAGTCATAAAACCCTAAAAACTTAGTGGTCAATAATAAATAAGACCGAGCACCGTACACCAGAATCACTGGCAGTTAATACATTCTAATCAGTGATTTATTGGCCCTAATCCTCAGCAGAGCACAAATAAGCTATCTTGTCGACTTAATGTTGTATCAGCTCAGGCGTGAAACTCCCGCGCACCACTAAGTGGTCCTTCCAGTTTCCAGTCGAAATATTTTAATAAGACCTCACTACTCACGCACCCAAATAAAAACACACACGCACTCACTGACACGAACGATCTCTAAACCTCGCTCGATTCCAAGTCGCCTTATTTATAAATTATAATACTAGCGACACTAAGACTCTACATTTTTGCTCTAAACGGTGTTAATTTATTGACCGTGGGCAGATAATATCACTTTTTTCTCCCATTATTGAAGCGATTACACCAGAAATTATACGTCGAAGTCCAATTCTGAGTGTCCGATCGTTCGGAGAAAGTCAAAGTAATATAATTCTTAATGTATTACTATAAGAGCGGTTTTTATGTTTGCGAAATATAAGTGCCGTCTTACGTTTCTTGAAGAAATCGCCTTATGGACTTGCTAATAAAAAGTGTAAAGTTATGAACAAGTTATGGCACATGCATTAATTTCGATGCTTAACCTGATAAACAAATTATGGTATATTAAGTTAATAGCTTAATTTATAATTGAATGTGTTACGATGTGTTCATAAGAAAGCATTGTTACGATCGATCTTTAGCATATCTGGGTGCCGTTAACGACAAATTGCAAGGGTAATGTATACGTACAACCGTTGCGAAAGCGACATCTTATATACAAAACAACATTTTCTGGCTCATTTTAACGGATAAGTTTATGGATAAAATTTTATTAGCACTGTATTACCTGGATATACTAAATGTAATTTTGTTCGGCATAAAAAGTATATTGTCAGTTGACTTTCAGTATTATTTTGAAATTGGTTATGCATATTAGAGGGGACGTAACACCGCACTATGTTATAACGGGTTGTGATTGTAGACATGGAACTTTCTCACGATAGCTTGATGAGTTTTCTTTATCGTATCATTTGCGTTTATTGATACCGTTCGTTTGTCCTTTGACGCGAATTGTAGCTACGTAATTTATAATGAACGAGCGTGGTTAGCTCGATAGCTGGATTCGAAAAAGCTATTGCCGAGAGGCACTCAAATTACGAAAAGAGTGTAAAAAATTATTCCTCTTTCAACGATGCACGACATCGCCTCAAATGACTATTGTTATTAGTTCTCATTTTCTTACCTCATTTTCGAGTAATTTTGTTGGGCGCGCTTTCTTATATAATGCTATCTTTTTGTTCTTTGTATTCATTTAAAACGAAAACGATTCAACATTCCCCAGTGGTTTTGTCAATATATTTTTATTTTTATAGTTGCTAATAAAGTTTTGTCAGGCAAAAGAATTTGTAATTTTGTTAAATGTTTATCATTGGTCCTGTTATAATGAAACAATATATGAAACAACTACTATATACGAGTATGTACAAGCAAGTATGCGATTTGTATTATTAAAATTGATAATGACCCAATATGATTGGGAACACTAATCCGATTGGCACTTAACCAAATTTATTGAAATGTCTTCTCGTTCATAATGATTTACAACGGCTAAGAAGCATCATTATAAATAAATTATTGATTATTAGTCATGTTTACATATTTTGATAATCAATATACATATGTAATCCAAGTAATATTTAATAATGTATTAATTATATGAAGAAAAAGTGTTTATTTTGCCGACACAAAGAGTAATTTTTAGCCGACATTCAAAAAGGAGGAGGTTCTCAATTCGTCTCACACCGCACCGACTTCGAAAATATCTGATTAGGTATCTTTTCTAAATGAAAGCCCCGTTTAGTTATTTTTTACATTTTTGTGCCTGGAAGTCGTTTTTTTTTTAAGTTTTTATCTAAAAACTAATGGTCGAATAGAATACTGTTCGTCATACTTATACATATGTATAATATGTATGTATGATAAGTATGAACGCGGCTTAAAATATATTACATGGAAAAACGTATAATAAATAGATAGGTACGTATTACACATCCCATACACATTTTCAAACTTCAAAACAGTAACTCAAAAAGCTATGTTTTCTATACACATATAGTATGCCAGGTATATATTATGCTAGTGCATATGTTTTAGGTCTCAGTATTTCAATAAACGTTGTACTTCTTATCTTAAAGATTTAGGGCTGAGAATATAGAGATTCTTTCTTGTTTTCAGTACCTGTATCGCCATCGTCATCAGGCGGTGGTTCTGGAACAGCTCTTTACCCCGGCGCAGCATCCCATCCTCTGTCGTCACTGCTCTCGCAACAGAGACTACTGGAGTTATCTCGCTTCGGCTTGCGGCACTACGACATCGCTCATCATGTGCTGTCTCAGCAAGGTGCTGTTACTAAACTACTTGGTAAGCTTTTGATTTTAGGAAGAACAAATAGTGTTCTCTAGGCTGTTATGTTATAGAGTACAATTATTTTCTTAATAATGTTACCTATACTACATATTGTACCTTTATGTACATTATATTTTAATACGCTTATGTGTAAAAAAATGAGATTTTATTGTTTCCAAAATTACAACAAAGGAAAAATTAATAAAAGCGTCAGCCAAATAAAGAATATTATAATATCTATATACTGTTGTTGAAACTTTAGTTGTAACGGTATTTTATCTGTGAAAAAGTTCTTCTAAAGGTAATAATTGATCGTGACCTGCGTACTGGATATAGCTTCTCTATAATTAACGTATAGTTATATTATTTATTAGTAGAAACAAGCCGAGCGCTCTTCAGTGAGATATTGATTTATACAGATTAACTAGGGAACTGCCCCGCGGCACACAACTTGTGACTAAGTTATGTGCAATAATTGCTTCACACTCCTATATTCTAATAACCACTATTAAACCATATTTGAATTATATAAAACAAGATTTAAAATAGACGTCATTTAATATAGCAGTAAAATCCTATAATTTCAGCAAATTCAATTTAAAAATTCCACTATTATTGGGCCCTTCCATTACAATATTATAAACATAATATTATTTAGTTATATATTTGTAGATCGTATGTATATAAATCTATTTTAATAGCACGGTTGCATTGAAGATCTCGGTTGCAATTAATCAACGATAAGCCATCGCGGGAATCTCGAGCGAACTGTTATTGACGAAAGCTTAGATCATAATCGATTCATAAAACTTGCAGCGTGTTAATTATAAGCCACCGTACTGCGAACCGATGCGCCGACGACGACGCCGCGAGCATCTCGAACAATACGAGTTCTGTCAAACCTATCTTAGCATCGATGGTTCCTTGCATATAATAATCGTTTATACAAACCGTAATTATTATCAATGCTTTCAATGCGATCTCTATCATTCGGATGTGGGTAGAAATCGATTGTTATCATGTAAAAAGTATTATAAATAACACTCAAGTATATGAAATTAAAAACCTTCCCTCAGTTCAGCTGCTAGAAAACTAAACAAACTTATAATAGAGGTGAAACGAAGTATTGGCGTCAATTAGCGTAATATCACGGCAGGTTGTTAGCAGAGCATGAGTTGTCATTATAGAGTGCGCAGCTATTTCAATCGAGGAGCTAGGTTTATGTGCCATAACTGTAATCAGGACACATGTTCACTTTGTGTTTGCTCAAGAATCGTGAAAGGACGATTTTAGAGGCAGCGGTGCGTGCTTCGAAGGTAATGACAATGCGCACATGAATGACCATCGCCTAATTTACGAAAACGTGAATAAAGTTTATAAACGTGATTAATTTAGATACTAGATACTACGGCACAAGTGATATGTAGCTTATTAATAGACCAATTATATTAATAGATAATATATTTTCAACATTAATAAAATTCGACATACTTTTATAACGTGTACATGTAAATTAATACTGTATCTATATAAAATGTAATATATCACTCGAACGTATCTATCGATTTATCGAATGAGCAACCGATTAATAATATAGAAAATATTTCGAAATGTTGTCAATAAAATTGTTCTAACTAGTTAAATTAGCTTAAAATGTTAACGGGAAACATAAACTACAATTAACTGAAATTGCGAGCAAGACTAATACTGTAAAATATTACGCTGCGAGTGTATTGTCAATCAATTTTAGCCCGTGGTTATTTCGTAACGTCACGTGGCGGGTTCCCACGGAAGCCCGGCTGCGATCCGCCCAGGGCCGTCATGTAAAACCACTTACGCATTTAACATAGCCACCTAGCCTTAGCTCAAATATTATCTAGCCCAAACGACGCTATGTAGGAATGGGTACAAATAAATAACCTTTCAATCAAAACAAACATCTTACAACCTGTAATAAAACTACTTGTTAGATTGTTCCATTAAATTGTTTCTCAAATGAGTACGAGAGATAGTTACGACGTTGTAACATTCTAATATGTTATATATAATTTAAATCGACGTTGTCTAGAATCTAACCGTGAATTCCACTTTTTACTAACAAAACATTCAAATAAAAGGTTTGGTAATTTAGTATTTACCCGGTGATTTTATTTCGATACACTAAAACGTCGTACTTAATGATACCTACTCAAGAAGATTGTCCGCGGATCGCCGCGGCGAGTAATGAAGCCGTATTTAGGCATTGGTCCTATAATCAAAATTGAATTACCAGGGTTGACATTCTTGCTTCACAAACTATGCTTTTTCTTTTTCCGCTCCAATTCTCGTAGACTAATTTGAATACTTAATGATCTTCGCCGTCGATACAATTGTTAACGACAAATAATTTTTATTTCACTACAAATAGGTATACGGTGGTGGAGCGTGCTTTTTAGCATTAAATATTACTTAGAAGTTTATTTCTATATAGTAATCAAAAAATAATTTTAGTTTAAGTAATACCCATTTCTGTAGGTATCTTTCAATATATTCAGGAGGCTTAGACATGATGTCATCTACAATCTTTATCTATTTGGGTTTTTTTTTGTTTTAATTATAATATTTTGCAATTTAGTAAAAAAATATTGGTAATATTTTCATGTTGCACCTACCAATAGATAAGAAAAAGATGAGCAATGTAACAAAACCAATTTAATAATATGTCTATTTATGTATGTAAATATAAGAAAATGAGTTGCCCTCTTTATTATACTATGATAGGTTTGGATTTAAATTCAAGAGAGCAGAAGCTGTTATAGATACTTTCCAGTTGCTTGATATTCCTCTATACATAAAATCCCACCTCTAAGTCTTAAAAACCGTAATACTTTCTTAGATTTACGCGAATGTTTGACATTACTAAATAAAACTATCTTTTCGGATTATTTCGCGGATTTATTTTGATTTTTGGTTCCCGACGTTTCGAATGCTTTACAGCATCCATGGTCACGGGAGAGACTGAGGTGTTACATGTCTTAAAGATATAGTTGTTACAGACAGCCTACTCACAATCTAGGGTATAATCTAGGGTATAATCTAATAATCCGAAAAGATAGTTTTATTTAGTAAAATCTTAAAAACCGTTTTAAACTTTTAGTCATACAGCAAGAAAAGTTGCTGATATATGATAAAAGCAGCACTTTTAAAGCTCTATTACTTATAAAAGTATTAATACATTTTTTAATTTCATAAAAGTACAGTAGATATGTACATATACATATTATTTATACTACCTATACTTGTCTTTGTAAGATTAATTTAGTGTTGTGGACAACGTCGAGACCATTCGCTCTTGTTTATTTACTTACTGTTTATTTATTTATTTTTTTGGTATAATAAAACTATAATATTAAATGATGATGATGATGTCTTACTCTTGATGTGTATATCAATGAAAAGTGTACGTAACTTTACCAAATAATCAAATGAAGTATGGTAATGTCATACTGCTCTTTGTTGTTTTTACTTAGCTGGTTATAACTTATTATTTTTCAAACTTCTATTAAAATATTGAAAAAAATGCTTCGAGGATCAATAGATTAAGACATATTTAATTCAAATACTGTAATGTAATATCTTATAATACTCTGTATGGAACTGTATGTAATATCTTATAATACTCCTATCTACGTCATCTAGATCCAAATTATAAAGTAGGTACAACAATGTGAGAAAATTAGTTTTAATGCTTAGTATTTAGAAACACATACCTATAGTGCTTCCAAACTATTTGTTCTTTTTCTGGTGAGAAGCTCAAATCGCTGAAAGTTATAATATAACTAGAATATCATTACATACATAGAACTCCACTTATACGAGTAATTATCAAACAAATTACGCATACCTACCTAATCAAATTGTTTATGATCCCTTTGAAAAAGAAAATTATTTTTAAATAAAACTATTGTTACAGACAGTATAATTATAGAACGCCTTTGAGACATCTAAAACCATGATCATGACCAATGACCACGATTGCTGTAAAGCATTCGAAATGTCGGGAACCAAAAATCTCAAAATATTCGCGTCCACTATTCGCGTAAATCTAAGAAAGTATTATGAGAAAATTACTATTTCTATAATTGATTTTAATATTCTAGAAATAGTTTTACTAATAACAGTTAAGTAATTAATTGTACAATAGGAATTCTTTCTTCAAATGGATACAACACCTAATACGGTTTTGTATGCAAAAACTTAATAGGAAGGAATGATCTGAATCTAGTTCTTATTAATAGCTTCTGAAGAAGCACGTTGTCTTGTTAATTCTTGTACAAAAAGTCCATTAATCATGGAATAAGGCGTCGTTAACACACGCTTTGCATTAAGTTCCATGGGCCAGGGTTAACCAGAAAGCCTTTGCCGTTAAAGATTTTGATCTATTAGGTGCATGACATAGCACTTCCCGTTAGTAAGCGCCAGCTAATATAAAGAGTATCTTTTTAATACAAATTTAATCAACAGAATTCGACCCATTCTGGGCTGCTTAAAACGTCTTGTCCCTCTTTGTAGACGCACCGTGTAATGACTTTAAGCGCCCATAAATGACTGTTGTTTGGAAATTTACTGACGTTTTGGATACGTATTGTGATGTTTGTATATGAATCACGTCCTCACTCGTACTCGATGATTAATTATTATTCAGTTTCATGGTTTAAGTGAATTATAAAAACATTAAAGGTTTATTGGCTCTTATTGATTTTGTTTAGGACATTTTTCACTTATTCAATTCAAAACTTAATTTCCACATACAAATCAATACGATATTACCTAAAATTTCAGTAAATAACCAACACATTATGCTTTAAAATATAAACTACCATATAATCGTTTCGGAAACAACAACAAATTGCGCTAATAAGTACAATAGCTCACTGTGGAAAGGCGAGCATGAAGTATATTCGTGTTTTACGCAATAATAACAATTTTAGGTATCTTACACGATCCGCCTGCGCGGTGCGCCTAGCTAGGCAACGGCCAGTAATTGGCACCGGTCATGCGATTACGTTCCTAGCCGATTTAATTACCGCGAAATGATCAGTGTGCCGGCCTCCCACAATTTACCTATCAATCAAAAGGAGAGCGGCCGCTTGGCAGGACTCCAGCAAGCCTATATAGCCAAGTTTCAATCACTCTAGTATTAATATACAGTTCAGTGAAAGGCGTAGTTGAAAGCTGGAAAAGTAGGTATAGGTATAAGTAGAATTATTTCAACTGTAATTTCAACAGTGAATATGTTTTGTACCTATATGTACGTATACAATATAAGTTATATTACATATTTGAAAATATTTGTTCTTCTATATCATTTAAGAATAAAAGATTAGATGATAAGTTATTTTTATCAAGTGTTGTGTAACTTAAAAATAAAATCATAGTTCTGAAATACTTACAGATTAGGCTCTCTTCTATTATATATTAGGTTCAAGTTAATACTTTCTTAGATTTACGCGAATATTTGACATTTTAAATAAAACTATTTTTTCGGATTATTTCGCGGATTTATTTTGATTTTTGGTTCCCGACGTTTCGAATGCTTTACAGCATCCATGGTCACGGGAGAGACTGAGATGTTAGATATCTCGAAGGTATAGTTGTTACAGACAGCCTACCCACAAATAATAGTTAAAATAGATAGTTTTACTTAAAATGTCTAAGTTAGTTCAATATGCGACCTATTGGTTTATAGAAAAGTTTTATAAAAAACTATCAATTGGGATTTGTTTTGGATATTTATTATCATATTTGTTTTCAGAAGTTTTAAATGCTTTACAGTAATCATTGTCACGGACATTACGACATTTGCGAAAAAAAAAATTAACATCGCGTAAATCTAAGAAACAATTATATAAAAGTTTTAAATTGAATTATTTTTCATTATATCGGTAAGTAATAATCTTGGCATATGCAATTTATAAGGTACACTATCGGGAAATCAAAATCTTTCCCTATTCTTTACGCTGTTCCTTAAAAATAGTATTTATTTTTTTGTAATACTCGTACCTAAAATAAGATACCTTTATATAATTTTAACATCTCGATTTATTACATATACCCACTTTCAACTTACTTTTTTCAAATACTTTCTGTTTAATAAAAGAATTTTCGTGTCATTTGTTTCTATGGTTGCGAGTTTTAAGAATGTAAGTTATTTCTCTGTGGCGTTTGTGCTGTAAGAAGATAAAAACAGTCACAATTTTGCGAAAATATTATCTTTTAAGGATTACATAATCAATGAGCTCTCTTCTAATAAAAAAAAGAAATTAAGCACATGTCGGTATGTATGTCAATTCAAATCTATTAAATATTTACTTATTTTTATATTGTAATTAAATAAATAATGTCTTATTATTACGACATGACCTAAAAATTATAGTATATATTTTTTTTTATCATGTAATTAATGTACCTATATAGTTACGTAGGTATACTTTGCAGTAATTTTAATTTAATTTATTTTTCAATGTCTTCAAAGTGGACTAGTATGTTACGCGATATCTTCGCAAATAGAATGGAGTCAATTTTCATATTTTTTAAAAATTTAACATAACTCAAGAGCAGTCACATATATGTAGACAATTTTAAAACAAAATATAATACCTAATACTTAAAAACATGGATGATAATATGTGTGATAAGTCCATAGTCCACCACGCGGGTCAAGTGCGGGAGTGCGGGTTGGCGGACTTCGTCTTTTGAAAACTTGCAAGGTTTTCTCGGACATGTAGGTTTCCTCCCGATATTTTCCTTCATTGTAACAAAAGTGATTATCGTGTTGGAAATAATTCGCACATGAATATACAAGATGTGCGTAACCCGGTCGAACCGTTGATACACTTAGTTTTAAAGTAATTCTGATGTTGTAACTCTTCTACAAAACTAAACTTGCATTGATTAATTTCATAGCAAGCAAATACAAATATTTTCCTACTTTACACTAGAAAAAATTTAACTTAAGTCATTATAACTATATGATGATGAGCTTAATAATATAATGGATCCTCAAAAGGTGCGTTGGTCTCGATACGTGTAAATTTGGACATCTTTTTGCGTATGTCACCATTTTGGGCCTTAAGCTTTAGTTTTATCAAGACATAAAGACCCGTATGAATTTATCGTGAATGGCGTTGACAAAAATGAGAATATAAATAATGTGATGAATTATTCAGCGTGATCGGTATGGAGGGCCGTTGTTCAAGGGGTAAAAACGTTTCGCGCGCCCGTCTGCCGGAATGCTGCCTCCGATGCCTTTTTGTGTAATTGTCTCGGAGCACGCACTCATCCATTATCTACTAACTGATTTAGGAATTACAGAATTCAATATTTTTTTGACTACGAGCAGTACTCGCTTAATTTATGCCAACTCCACAGTCGACGGTGCCAAGTTATACGGCCGACTATAAAATTTATTCATAAATGTGTTTCGCTAATTAGGTAAACCAAACATTAATTAAAATTATCTGAGGGAGTTTAATTGCTTAAATATTCTCAATCATAATTATTTATTAACAAATTGAGCAATAAATTCAATTATACAATTCAATAACGACTGGCAATGGAAATAGCGGGATAACGTAATCGGATCTTTTGTGTTCTGGACATCCATATCTTCACTTATTTATACAAAAGTGTGCCTTGTCTGTATGTCTAACAGTAACATTATCTTTAGTGTCACTTGGAATGGACACAGGTTATATATTCCGGAAAGGGTTGAATAATTTATTTTTTAATCGTATGCAAATTTCGCTTAGTATAGGTAGAAAATATGTTATAGATTTAGATGTAAATTGGGAAGAGACCTAAACTCTCGGAATATGAAAATAATAGTTCATTAATAGAAGATATCGATAGAAAGTTGTGCTGAAATAATTTTACAAAATAAATATTAGCATAAAATCCTCATGAAATCTCAGAATTTGTATATAAAATACGACAGATGTATATTATATACTATAAAGACTAATTATACGTTATTAATTATACCTACAGATAACATGTTACAGTTGTTTGAAAATATTTTACAATTAAATATCTACTTCATAAATCAATTTTGTGTTTAACACAAACTAAAAAAAAACACTATTCCAAAAACAATTTGCCTAAGCTTGAAACAACTTAAGAATTCTCGTCTCGTTGCATGACTTCGTTTAAGTCGATGTCATTGTTTCTATAATTAATACTAATTTGCAGTTTTCATTATTATTCTGTACCGCATCTTTGATTATCAATTTTTTTAAGAAAAGCACGTCCATCTTCCTTTTGAATGCTGAAGCGGTAACGTATGATACTATTAGTGAATGTAATTTCGACCTTACGCCGTTGTCATACGTTTTAATGGCAAATGCAGCTGTGAATTAAGTATGACTGGGCACGGTATTGCGACCGTAGTCGCGTTTACTCACGTTTAGCGCTCAATGAAATTGCATCAATCGGTACCGTGTCGCTATTATTGGTATTTTTATTATAGGTTTAATTTGATTTTATTTTTTGTCAAAAAATCTTCAGGTGTCAGTTCTCGAACTGCACCATTGAAACGTTTATTCGTGAACACAGATTTTCTTAGCTTATTACTATTTTTTTGGGAAACTTGTAAATTAGAATAAGGAAAATTTAAAATATATTTTCGTACTTTTAAAGCGTGCTTAATATTTTACAGGTACACTTCGACCTCCAGGTCTCATCGGCGGCAGCAAACCAAAAGTAGCAACTCCGGCGGTAGTCTCAAAGATAGAACAGTACAAACGGGAAAATCCAACAATTTTCGCATGGGAAATTCGGGAACGATTGATTTCTGAAGGTGAGTGTGCGTTGTACTTTAAAAATTGACACATTGTTCATTTTTAAAAATTGACTTCTCATTCTAATCATAATATGAAATCTTAAATGGCCTATGGCCCTTTTACTCAATTTATGTTTTCGTGTTCTGGGTACAACTAAAAAACACTAAGTACCTACATAAAGATCATGACGGGAAAATGATCTAAGCAACCCTCGATTTGAAAACAAAATCTTAATATTTTTGAAATTCTAAGACTTTTACATATACTAATATTTAAAAAATAAATAATTGGCACAATATTTAAACTGTGCGTTGGCTCAATCAATTCTAAATGAAAGTAAAAGTTTAACTAAAATTATTTCGAAAACTTTAACAAAAGATGTGCAGATTTGAATTTGCAAATAAAACATTTTAAAGTTTAAACCTTACTGTATTTTAAATTATGATAGAAACAAACTCAATAATAAATTAACTTTTCTATGATTCCGAGACAATTTAACCGCCCATCTTAGAAACTTCCTAGGATACCTACAGAAGGAAACTTTCTATACTCGACGTCCCTAATATTTCTAACTAAAGATATTTGAAAATAACACATTTTGATAACTTTCACAATACTTTACATAGAGTTCTTTCAATTTAATTTTAATTTAATAATAGTGATACCAGTTTCATTTAATCGATTCTAAAAATATATGTATCTACTAGCAGAACCCGCGGCTTCGCACGCGCTATAACTACAAAAAATATCTAAAAAGGTTTCATACAAACTTTCATGCCCTATTTTACCCCCTTATAGAATGAATTTCGAAAAATGCTACAACCCGTATTTTTTTATTTTTATTGAAGAGCATTAATACCAAGTTTCAAGTTATTATTCTGATCTTAAATATTTTTTGTATTGTATTTATAATGTGTTTTCCCGTGGGAATTACATAATGTCCCGCGGTAAAAAGTAGCCAATGTCACTTTCCAGCCCTCCATATATCTCCACAAATAATCACGCCAATCCGTCTCACCGTTTTGACGTGAAAGAAAGAAGGCAAACAAACGAACATACTCACATCTATACATATAATAAAATTCTAAGTCAAATCTGTACATTAAATATTTTTTCGAAAATCTTATTGAAATAAACGTTATTATCGATACAGAGGCCGAATCTATAGTTTTTAAATTTTTTGTCTGTCTGTCTGTCTGTCTGTCTGTCCGTCTGTCTGGTCTGTTACCGCATCACAGAAAAACTATTGGAGAGATTTTGATGAAATTTGGTATGATGATAGCTGGTTATCCGGGTCAATATATAGGATACTTTTTACCGCGGGAAAATGTCTCATTTCTGAGAAAAAATACAAAAACTGCAATATAAGAGTATACTAGTATCTAAACGCGGGCGGAGCCGCGGACAGTGCTAGTAATAAATAAGTACGCGTAAATTTACGCGATTAATGAGTACATTACATATTTTGTATTATTTTACTTAGGTAATTTTTTAAAAACAAAATATACCCTTTTTTCTATTTTTTGTTTTTTTTTTTTTTACTTTACATCAACTTTAATAATAAATCGATACATAGGTACCTATATTTAGCCGTGTATTGAAATAGGAACTATTTTTTCTTTATTCTTGATGAGACCCCGTATGTATATTAATATGTATCTATTATAAAGGTAAAAGTTTGTTGCTTCTTTCTTCTGTCAATATTCAAACGTTTTGTATGTCTGCGAAGTAGGCTTTTTTATGGTATTTACATATTTATAAATAACACTTTGATTATATATTATACATAGTAAGCAAAGGGTGCACGGTGTGTATGAATGAATCTTAGCAATTGTTCTAAAGATAATATGCACCTAAGATAAATAAAATATTTATGTAATTATTTTTAATATTCATGGCCATATGATTACTTTAAACAGGACCAAAGGTCATTAGAATTATATATGTACAAATAGCACAAAAACATATTATTAACGTAGCTTAATTATCAACTTCAAGTCTAAGAAAATCATTCGAAGTTCTAGCAAATACTTATTCATTTTCCAACTTCCATAGCTTCTACGAAGAAAATTGTATTTATTTAACTAACTAATAAATATTACAATGTATGTAATTATGTACCTATATACATACCTATAGTATACCTACTAATATTTACTGACTGATAATATTGGTTCTACAGTCTACTTTGGAATACCTTTTTGATAGCATGTTGTTTAAAATTATTTTTGATGTTTAATTTATTACATCTACTTGTGATGCTACCTATACCTACTATAATTTTACGATGTAAATGGTAGGGTAGTATTCTGATTGAAACACAAGTATATATTTAAAATATTTGCTATTATTTGTTTATGCTCAATCCTTAAACGTGGATAAATTAAAAAAAAATCATTGTTTTTTTTAAATGAGAAGAACAATGTCAATTTTTATATATTTTAAAACTGTCGGATGAAGTTTGATTTTTATTCTTGTAGCATGACTAACGATATGCCTTACGCTTCTTATGTTACAAAGCTCATGCGTGCGTGCTTACAGTAACTTTATAATATAAACATCATTTTAAATGGTTTTAAAATGGACAGGGCCAAATTTAAAGTAACTTTAACTCAAAATAAGAATATTTTACACAAAAGAAGTTTTATTGATCTTATCTATTATATACCAGTATAGTAAAATATCATTTTTACGGTCGTTATTTTTCCAAAATATATTACCTCTGTTTTGCTGATTCTTATCCGCGATTATATTTACGTACCCGACGTCTTAGCTATCTACACAATATAGTATTATATGATCTGTGATAATATCTATCTCCATTCCTAATGCCAAATTCAAAAGCGTTCAGCGGTAACTTTTTGATTCAATAATATAATATTTTTTTTATTATTAGATCAAGTGCCTTAATCGCATTACAAATTTCAACTTATATACTTAATAAGATTGCTTCAATAGACGCACACTGCTTACCTAGTTAGTTACTAAATACTTAAATATCCAATTAGGGGCTTTGGCCACTTGTGTATTGAACTTTAGATAGTTTATGTCAATACATTTTGGGAGGTCAGATGGTAAAGCCAATGAAGTGCAACCCCGAATATGGTCTATTAGTTTCGGTGATGGCTGCCAGCTTACCGACAACGGATATCTTGTAATATGAGATCGATGTTTGGAAGTAGCTACATAGATGGAACCAAATACTCGCCTAGTATGTACTGTTGGAGGTACTTTCATAAAAAATATGTACAATATTTTAACCAAAAACTTTTTATATAATTTTATAAGAGAATCATAAAATCTTATATTGGTTTTAATTAAAAAATGTGATTTAATGGAAAGTCATTCGTTTTATTAGGCAATATTGTATACCTCACTAATTGGGAACCGAAGTAAACTTACGGTCAAGATAATGAACGATTGTAATGAATCGATTATTTATTATTTACACAGTGTTGTGTTGTACGATAAGATTAACACTAAATACGCGAATTACGAAAATATCACGGCATACATATCCAACGCACACGAGGGGCGTTCTTAGCTTTGAGGCCAACGAGCCAATTGCGATAATTGCACGAGCGACACCTCTTGTCCATGCGTAATGGAAATGAATCAACAAAAACCGCCTTTATTGCTCGGCAGGCATACATTGGAAAGTATGCTTAATAATATTTGCAATTAAGGTATACAATCCCATGACATCAAATGCAATTTGATCATTCTTCTTTTATAAAATGCTTATGCATGTGCAGTTTCTCTAGCAAACAGCAGCAGGGAGTGCGTGCGATCGTCTGTGAAACAGGTTTCGCTTATGAGACCATTTCTGGTTTACGATATCATTGGGGACCGGATTAGAAGACGATAACATTCTTCATGAGGAGCGCCGCGCAAAACTGAGATGTTAAATTGCTCCATAATCGTTAAATCCACAGGTGGCGTCGTAACTTTAGAGTACCTCATTGTGTCAATATACACACAACAGAGAATAACATGCTATAATTCCCAAAAATATTTTAATATACCTATGTTACGGTTATTAATTTTGTTTATGGGCGAATTTAGAGGAAAATCTATGGAATGCTAAGTATTTATATTTAAATATATAAAATAATAATTTAAATTAGCATTGCCCGCGACTCCGCCCGCGTTCAGATGACCAAAAAACAAATTCTTAAGTTTTATATAACAGTATTTGTATTCTTTCTTGGAAAAGATATATTTTGCCGCGGTAAAAAGTATCTTATATGTTGACCCGGATAACCATCTATCACCGTACCAAATTTCATCACAATCCCTCCAGTGCTTTTTTTGGGATGCGGTAACAGACAGAAAGACAGACAAAAAATCTCAAAACTATAGATTCGGCCTCTGTATCGATAATAAATAATAATGTTTATTTCAATAAGATTTTCCAAAAATTACATTAAAAAATATAATTAATGTACAGATTCGGCTTATTTACAATGTTATTATATGTATAGATTATATTATCAGAAACTATTTGCTATACAATCATATAAAACACTGGTCATTGTACCTACATATTTATGAAAAATTAAAACTTTTTAATTCAAATAAATTTTAAATGTAACTGTTTTGTCTCTTAATAAACTTTCTTACTAATCAACAAGATAAGTTAGAAATGTATTATATTACCTAAGTATATAATGTAATATATTTATTATATATATTACATTAAAAATATAATAATATAGTAAATTCCATTATTTAAAAAGAATATGCAAACTTTCATCACAGTAGATATATAGTAAGTCGTGCAACTATTACACTAATAGCCTAGAGCTTGGTGCATGATATTTAAAATATGCTCCTTCTTAAAGAAATGAAGTAAGCAGTAAGCACAGATAATTATATGCGCTCTTTTATAGTGAAGTGAATCTTATGATTAGTGCTCGAAGAGTTACTGTGCAACGATTGTCATTGTAGTATTTTTTTTTTCTTATCTCCGTTTCTGGCTGACATTATCGTCATTTGTTGAAATGTGTTTAAAATA